CAAAGAACATGGGCAGCCTCCAGAAGCTAGAAAAGGCAAGGAAACAGATTCTCCTCAAGAGACTCCAAAAAGAAGGCAACTCTGGTGATACCTTGGTTTTAGCCCATTTAAGATCCATACTGGACTTCTGCACAGTTGTAAGATAATAAATTTGTGTTGTTTTAAGCCACTGAATTTGTAGTAATTTGTTACAGCAGTAATAGAAAACTAGTATAGCAACTTAAGTTACTTACTGCTTTAGAAAATATTCCAAGTTGGAGAGAGAATGGGTCCGAGATTTCAAAACAAAACACTTTAATGTGATGATTATTTATACTTACAATCTTTTTTCTTTATTCCGTGTGTCTTAAATCATATATATATTTTCTCACTGAGTCTTCTAAAGTTAGTAAGGAAATAACGAACATCTCAGTATGGAAAATAAATGTTACCTCTTGTGTAAAGTGGTAATGTCATTTTTAGTGCATAGCAGAAAATAAATGTGTAGATACCCTTAATAAAAGTTAAGTAAATAATACATTAAAAAAAATTATTGCACATTTACTGTGTGCCCAAAACTGTGCTTAGAAGCAGAGTATACCAGAGAGCCTGGGGAATGTATGAACAAATAATTATATCATGTCAGAGGCTTATTGTTGTTTATTGTACCTCAAATAATAAATAAAGGCAAACTTTCCTGAGACTTCTTGTGCTTCATTCCTTTTCTTGTGCTGAATTCCATTTGCCTCTGTTACAGATTTATTGTCCTCTATTTTCAAAGTGTTCTCTGAGTTTGTTTTTTTTTTTTTTAACTTCATTGTAGTCATCTACCCTTCTACTTGCTCTTTTGTTACTGCTTTGTGCTTCTTCTCTTAGTCTATCCTATTAACACTCTCAAAATCCTTCCACTGAATTCCGTTCATCTTCAGCTGCATCACAGAGAACTGCCTGTTTTTTCTTGGCATGACTTGAAACTCCCCATCTGTTCATGGCTCTGCTTCCCCATGGTCATCTGAAGGAGAGACTGCTCATGCTCCTGCATCCCATACTCAGGGCACAAAAGTTGTTTATCTCTCACTGATGGTTCCACACCATTACACCACAGTAGTTTTTGCTTTTGTTTGTTTGTCTTTGAGCTCTAATTCACATACCATAACTTTCACCATTTTAAAGTGTCCATTTCAATGGTTTTTAGTACATTCACAAAGTTGTGCATCCATTTTTCCCATAGCTGTCAAGTCGACTCCGACTCATAGAGACCTTATGAGACAGAGTAGTACTTCCTCATAGGGTTTCCAAGGCTATAATCTTTAAGGAAGCAGATTGCCACATCTTCCAGAACATTTTCATCACACCAAAAAGAAATCCTGTGTCCATTAGCAGTCATTCCGCATTTCCTTCTACCTCTACTACCTCACAACCATTAATCTACTTTCTGTCTCTGTAGATTTCCCTATTCTGGACATTTCATATAAGTGGAATCATACAGTATGTGGCCTTTTGTGTCGGGCCTCTTTCACTTAGCATAAGATTTCAAGGTTCATCCATGTTGTAGCATGTATCAGAACATCATTCTTTTTTATGGCTGTATAATATTCCATTACATGGATATATCATATTTGTCCATTCATTAGTTGATGGACATGAGATATTTCCACTTTTTAGCTATTATGAATAATGAACATTGGTATCCCAATTTTTGCATAGAGATATTCTCACTTCTTTTGGGTATTTACCTAGGAGTGAAATTGCTGGTTCATATGATAATTCTATGTTTAACGTTATGAGGAACTGCCAAATCGTTTTCCCCAGTGGCTGCACCATTTTACATTCCCAGCAGTAATGTATGGGGGTCCAGTTTTTCACATCCTCCCCAAAACTTGTTATTGTCCATTTTTTAAATTTAAGTCATCCTAGTGATTGAAGTGGTCTCTTACTGTGGTTTTGATTTGCAATTCCCTAATAACTAGTTATTTCACGTGCTTATTGATCATTTATATATCTTCTTTGGAAAATGTCTGTTCATATCCTTTGTCCATTTTTGATTAGGTTACTTTTCTTTTTTGTTATTGGGTTATAAGAGTTCTTTATAATATTCTGGATTTAAGTTCCTTATCATATGTATGATTTGCAAATATTTTATCCCATTCTGTGGGTTGTCTTTTCACGTTCTTGACAGTGTCCTCTGAAGCACAAACATTTTTAATTTTGATGAGTTCTAGTTTATCTATTTTATCTTTTGTTGCTTGTATTTTTGGTGTCACATCTAAGAAACCATTGCTTAATCCAAGGTCACAAAGATGTAAACTATGTTTTCTTCTAAGAGTTTTATAGTTTTAGTTCTTAAATTTAGGTCTTTGGTCTGTTTAGAGTTAGTGTTTGTGAATGGCTGAGGTAGGAATCCAGCTTCATTTTTTTACATGTGGATATCCAGTTGAACCAGCACCATTTGTTGAAAAGACTATTCTTTCACTATTGAATTGTGTTGGCACCTTTGTCGAAATCAGGTGACATAAATTTAAGGGTTTATTTCTGTATTCTCAATTCTGTTCCATTCATCTGTGTCTGTCCTTACACCAGTGCCACAGTCTTGATTACTATAGTTTTGTAGTAAGTTTTGAAATTGGGAAGTGTGAGTCCTTCAACTTTGTGCTTCTTTTTAAAAATTGTTTGGTTATTCTTACATTTCCAAGTGAATTTTAGGATCAGCTTGTTATTCCTGCAAAATTAGCACCTGGGATTTTTTTAAGGATTACATTGACTCTGTAGATCATCAAATTGGGGGTATGTTACCATCTTAACAATACTCTGTCTTCCTACCCATGGCTGCTAACCAAAAGGTTGGCAGTTTGAACCCACCAGCTGCTCTTCAGGGAAAAAGAAATGGCAGTCTGCTTCCTTAAACCCTGTGGGGCAGTTCTACTCTGTCCTTTAGGGTCGCTATGAGTTAAAATCAACTTGACGGCAATGAGTTTAGTTTTTTGGTTTGGTATCCATGAATACAGGATGCCTTTCCATTTATTTAGATCTTGGTGAGTAATTTATTTGAACAGTGTTTTTTAGTTTTTTAGTGTACAAGTCTTGTATTAGTAAAATTTATTCCAGAGTGTTTTCTCTTTCCCTTTTTTTAATGATTTTACTATTTTTATTGTGTTGAGTATATATATATATATAAAACAATTTTGCCATTTCAGTATTTTTTCATGCACAATTCAGTGACATTAATTATGTTCATCATGTGCAACCATCACCACTATCCATTTCCAAATTTTTCTATCACCTTTAACAGAAGCTAGGTGCTCCCCTGAGCAATAACTTTCTTTTCCCCTCCCTTTCACCCTTAGTAACCACTAATAGACTTTGGTCTCTATACATTTGCCTATTCTAGACATTTCATATAAGTGAGAATACAGTATTTGTCCTTTTATTCCTTTCATGCTATTGTAAATGAAATTGTTTTCTTAATTTCATTTTCTGATTGTTCACTCTGAGTATATTGAAATACAATTGATTTTTTTATATTGAGCTTGTATCCTGCAACTTTGCTGAATTCATTTATTCATTCTAATACTTTTTTAGTGGATTCCTTAGAATTTTCTGTTTATAAGATTATGTCATCTACCAATAGAGATGGTTTTACTTCTTTCTTTCCAATCTGGATACCTTTTATTTCATTTTCTTGCCTAATTGCCCTGGCTAGAACCTCTGATTCAGTGTTTAATGGTAGTGGCAGGAAGGGACACTGCTATCCTGTTCCTGATTTTAGAGGGGAGGGCTTTCAGTCTTTCACCATATATATTATGTTAGCTGCGGAGTTTTTATAGATACCCTTTATCAGTTTGTGGAAGTTCCCTTCTGTTCCTAGTTTATCAATAATCTTCTTAAAAGATGCCCTTCAAATTTTCACCAAAACAAAACCTACTTTATTTGAGATTTACAATCTCTGACTGTAACCCAGTTTGTTCCTCATCTTTGCTTTCATCCTGCACACTTGATCACTCCTTGACATTCACTGAATCTTTGGGACCTGCTTCCCACTCTCGACTTCAACTCTAAATGTCATCATTATCCATCATGACTTCAAAATCTATCAATGACTATAAAATGTTATAGTTACTGATTTTATAATAGTACGTGTATACCAAAAGATTTATTTTAGAAAATAAAGTATAGGGAAAGGAAACAAACTCTAGTAGTACAACCAGAAATAACACTGTTAATGTTGGTATATTTCCGCCTGTTTTGTGTGTCTGTGTGTGTGTGTGTGTGTGTGTGTGTGTGTGTGTTTGTAAACCCAAAACCCACTCCTGTCAAGCCAGTTCCGACTCATAGCGACCCCATAGGGTTTCCAAGGCTGTAAATCTCCACAGAAGCAGACTGCCACTTCTTTCTCCCACAGAGCTGCTGTGGTTTTGAACCGCCGACCTTTTAGTTAACAGTAAATCACTTTAACCATTGCAACTCCAGGGCTCCTTTGTGTATCTGTATACACGCATAAAATTTTCTGGGTTGTGCTAATTTTGTTACTTTTAAAGTAAGGTTCATTTTACAATTTTATTTATAAGATATATATATATATATATATGCATATATATGCGTATGTATATATATATGCACACATATATACACATAAATGTATATGTTTTGCTAAATAGGATCATTCTGTGCTTTAAATTATGTATTCAGTTTTTCCCACTTAGCATTATATCATGACTTTTTTAATTACCATGCCATTAAACATTGTTTGAAAATGTATTTTTTCATTGCTGCCTTATGTGTATAGATTTACCATAATTAAACAATTTTTTATTGGACATTTAGATTGCTTCTGATTTTTGACAGTTAGCTAAGTACACCTTTTACACGTTCTTTGCAGTTTGCATGCTGATATTTTCTTAGGGTAGGTTTTTAGAAGTGGAATAAATGTTTTATATAGTGTTGCCAAATAATTGTCTAAAAAAGGTTGTCGCAGTTTGCTCTCCAACCAGTAGTGTATAAGTGTAATAATTTATCTTTTCTAGTTCGGATTCTGAAATAATTGGTTATGCTTTGGACACACTATATAATATAATAGCTAATGATGAAGAAGAAGAAGTAGGTAAGTTTCCACTTACTCTTCTTGCTATGTTGTTGGATTTTCTGTACATAAAAAATAACTGGGTTGTGTGAATTTTGCCAGTTTTAAAGTTGGGTTTATTTTACAGATTTATTTATAAGTTTGTTTTGTTTTTTGCTTTCTTTTTCCTTTTTCAATCCATAAAGTAAAGACATAAACTTATTCCTAGAAGAGTATCTTTGAGATGATTGCTTTCTATATGATTTTGGAACATTATAATGAGATAGATTGTTCTTTTCTGGGAAATATTTTTCCCCTTTTTATGTTTAGTTTTGGTTAAATGCTACGAATATTAGCAGTTTCCGAGTTATATAATCATTTTGGCTATTGATTAAAAATCAAACTATTTTATATATATGTCATTTCCTGGTGAATAGAATGAAGTTGGAGGATTTTTTTTTCTAATAAACTTTTAAACTCTTACATAGGACTTATGGTAATTCATTAAAAAAACAAAAATATATTATATTTAGGAAAGGATTTTTTCTTTAATTAAGTCTGTTTGATCTTAAATGATATGAAGCAGATTGAAAGCCACACATTTATTTGGTATATTATTCTTTTTCTTTCTTGCTTTAAACTGCTTGCGTACTTAAAGTGAGGTAGTCTGTCATTTACTTAATTTGTTTTATTGTTGGTATGTGAAATGCTTGATTGGAGGTCTGTATACATTTTGCTCTATAGATTGTAAAAACATGCATTGAGTAACATTTTACAGTGCTGTTGAAGAGTGCATACTTCATATTGGATTGGCTGATGCAGTAGGACATGGTGGGTTTTTCATTATTCTAGAAAGTCAGAAGGATTGACATATTCATGCCTTTTATAAATCTAATTGAGACCAAAATTAAATGACCTTTAGAAATTCTGAGTGGACAAATCAAAGAAATGTAGACGCATATTGACCGTGCATTATTTTATTAAAATAAAGAGCAGAAGTATATGTAGATATTAACTTCCCTGGGTATTACAGAATATCAGTAATAGAAACATTTGAAACTGGGTTGTGTTGAATAGTCACAATTCCTTAGACTTAAATAGCCTTTTTATTAAATTTTTATTTCTCTGTGATATTTAGCTCACAACTCAACTTCATGAATTTCTCAGGGGTGAAAAGTCTTTAGTGAACATGATTTGGTACCATGGAAGAAGAGGTATCGGTCACATGACAACACTTAGATGCAATACACCCAAAAACACATTGTAAAGAAAAAGATAATTTACCGTAGTTGTTTCTCAGATGAGACAAAGTTAGATGCTGCATACTTTTTAGAACACGTTAAGGAAAAAGATTTTTTTCCCTTTTTTTCTTTCTTACTGGTTGATTGATTACTTAGTTGTTTCAGATGAGAAATTTAGCTTTTTTTCCACTTAGCAACTGATGTTGGGGATAATTTTTATGTTTAATAAAACATAGAGCAGCAAAATTTTTTTCTTTTTTTTTTTTTAATTGTACTTTAGGTGAAGGTTTACAGAACAAATAGTTTCTCATTGAACAGTTAGTACACAAATTGTTTTATGACATGACATTGCTTAACAACCCCACGACGTGTCAACACTCTCCCTTCTTGACTTTTCTTTTTTTTTTTTTTTCCTGGTGAAAATATACATAGCCAAAGATACATCATTTCAGAAATTTTTACATGCACAATTCAGTAACATTGATTACGTTTTTCCAGTTGTGCTGCTGTTCTCACTTTAGATGAAGGTCTACAGAACAAAATAGTTTCCGTTAAACAGTACACATGTTGCCCTATGACAATGTTTAACAACCCCATTGCATGTCAGCACTGTCCTTACTCAACCTTGGGTTCCCTATCACCAGCTTTCCTGTCCCCTTCTGCCTTCTAGTCCTTGTCCCTGGACTGCTGTGCCTCATTAGTCTCGTTTTGTTTTATGGGGCTGCCCAATCCCCGGCTGAACGGTAAACCTCGGAAGTGACTTCACCACTGAGCTAAAAGGGTGTCTGGGGGCCATACTCTCAAGGTTTCTCCAGTCTCTGTCAGGCCAGTAAATCTGGTCTTTTTTGTGTGTGTTAGAATTTTGTTCTACATCCGTCTTCAGCTCTGTCCAGAACCCTCTGTTGTGATCCTGGTCAGAGCAGTCAGTGGTGGTAGCTGAGCACCATCTAGCTGTACTGGACTCAGTCTGGTAGAGGCCTTGGTAGCTGTGGTCTATTAGTCCTCCGGACTAATCTTTTCCTTGTATCCTGTTCTCTTCATTCTCCCTTGCTTCCGAAGGGGTGAGACCAGTGGAGTATCTTAGATGGCCGCTCGCAGGCTTTTAAGACCCCCAGATGCTACTCACCAAGGTAGAATGTAGAACATTGTCTTTATAAACTGTGTTATGCCAGTTGAGCTAGATATTCCCTGAGACCGTGGTCCCCACAGCCCTCTGCCCAGCAGTTCAGTCCCTCAGGGAGTTTGGATGTGTCTATGGAGCTTCCATGACCTTTCCTTGTCTAAGTGGTGCTGGTTTCCCCAGTATTGTGTAGAGTAGCAAAATTTTTGTTAGGTGGTTTTCCTTTATTATAAATTTACCGTATAATCAAGTTTAGGCCCTAGCTTTTTGTTTTGCTTTTTGTATTTAGGCTTTTTATTTTTAATTCAGCATCCAAAAAAATCTTTGGATAAGACAGGATAAAATGATTTTTACATAAATAGTAGTAGAATCACTTTTTCTACAAAAGATCAAAATAGATCTTTAGGCTTTTTTCAAAATGTAGTCATCCTGAAATAGTTAAAAGCTGGATTTTGAGAAATGTGTACTTCAGTTCTATTATTAATACTTTTTTTCTCTTTATTGCTTCATAAAAAGGTGATTCTTAGCTGACATGTTGAACTCCATCTTAGAGTTCCTTACCTTAGGGATATATTATTATAACCCTTTAATGATAAATCTGTCTCATGGCCCTGAAAGTGGTTAAGAGCTATGTGTGCTAACCAAAAGGTCAGCAGCTGAAATCCACCAGTCGCTCCTTGGAAACTCTACGGGGCAGTTCTGCTCTGTCCTATAGGGTCGCTATGAGTTGAAATTAACTCGACAGCAACGGGTTAGGTTTTTTTTTTTTTGTATATATGTTTTAGGATATCTCTTGGTATTTTACTAAAATGAAGAAATGCTTCTGCCATGAGATTATTTTGCTTATTTGATGTTTTTAAACTCTTATTTATTTTATTGCATATATACTGCTACATAAGAAACTGTTTTCTTTATCACCCACTACTTATTTTTTTGTCTACCTTTTCAGATGATGTTGAAGGTAAAAGATTGCATTTACATGTGCATGGTGTTTTTAGGTATAATTTCTAATGATATAAAAGGACACTGTCAAGTGATGTTTCCTCTGGCTAGTAAAAAATCTTCTGAGATTTGTTTCACTATATACAAATTCCCTAATTTAAGAGGAATATTTGATAATCTTATATTGCTATTTATTATTTCTATGGCTGCTAAATCTGTTTACTCTCCAGAACACAGAAAATATTTTAGTGCATCTTTTAATAAAATTAAAACTTTTTCTCTGGTAGGATAATATACCATTACTTTGTGGGTACTTATTGGAAAAAAAATTTTAAGGCAATTTATTTTAAAATAAAAATAATTTGAATATGTATACATATGTATGTATACATATTTATCTATATACAGTAAAAGCTGGAAAGTATTCCAGTTCAGAGAATGCTTATCTGTTGATATTGTCCCTTTAAAATAATGCATGCACAATAGTGTTCTGGTTACTGACATTTTTGACACTAATTCATAGAGCTCACCCATATTTTCTTTCCTTTCTCCGGTGTTCTGTTTCAAGTTCCCTTTTCTCTTCCTCATTAAAGTAACCCGTTTTATTTTATTTTACCAATTTTCCTGAGATGCTTAACTTTTTTAAGATGCGGAAGGAAATATTTTTATCTAAAATAGATTTTAAATGGTACATAGCAAAATTGCATATACCTAACAAAAAACTAACAAAAGAAACTAACTTATTAAGTTATGTAGCATTACCTTTTGTGGTGTTTGAACCCTTTGTTTGAAATCAGAAAATATCAGAGCAGTATGCCTTAGCTTTTGTGACAATAAGCTGTTTCCTTGTGGGGTAGTACAGGTCAGTAGTTCTCGTTTCTTTTATTGTTTGATCATGCTTGTAAAGAGCTTTAAAATTTAGAGTGTTTTGTGTCCATTGTCTTGTTTACTCCTTATAGCAGCCTGTGAGGTAGGTGATATTATTGTCTCTTCTAAACATGAAAAAATAGAGGCCCAGAGGTTATGTAACTTGTATTGTATCATCCAGTAAGTAGAACAGAATTTTTAAAAAATTTTTTGGTATTTCATAAACCTCTGATTGATTAAATTACGGCCAATTTTCTTTTTCCTATCTTTCTGACTAGATTCTTAAATCATGCAATGTACTTAACTAGTTTATAGGAGTTATAGAATGATTAGAATAAATATTTAAAAATTTAGGTGTACCTATTTAATTGGCCACAGTGTGTAAAAAGATTACTTGATATCCCCTCAGTCTGAGTTAGAACAACTTTTATTAACATATCTCTTTCTGTAATGTAATTTTGTTCTTCATAATATGGATTATGAACTTGTTATGGAGACAAGTTCTAAATGAGAAGGTCCAGAGTCTTTTGAATTGTAAACTCATTTTAAGAATAAATGTATCTATAGAAGTTTAGTTAAAAGCCAGTTAGATAAACTGTTTCCAGAGGTATATAAGAACTTTTTAAAAAGCAGTCTTCCGTTTTACATACCTGTCTTAGGTTTATTTTTACTTTGGTAACAAGGAGCCATTTAAGTTTTATATTATTTTATTTCTTAATTTATCTTACAGTAAAGGATCATTTACTGTTTAACTTTTTTTTTTTTAGTTTTTCTCAGGAAATATTTATTGCATGTTATTAGTGATAATATTTTACAGTAAAATTAAATTAAACGTATACACTTCTCACAACCATAAAATGGGAATGAAAGCA